TCGCTGCTTCCTAGCTCTGTACAATGAATATACCGTCAAACTAATATCGGCACTTGAATGCATTACGTGCATAACATCAATTTACATATTGCGTAGTATCTCAAAGAAAATCTCAATATAATACACGTCTGAAATGTTTATACATTTCGAAACAACACTTGTCTCGCTGCTTCGCCTAGCTCTGTACAATGAATATACCGTCAAACTAAGTAATATCGGTACTTAATTGAATGCCCGTAATGCAAAACATCGATTTTATATATTGCGTAGTATCTCAAAGATTTTCTCAATATAATTTAGACGTCTGAAATGTTTATACATTTGAAAACAACACTGTCTCGCTGCTTCCTAGCTCTGTACAATAAATATACCCTCCAAATAATATCGGCACTTGAATGCCCGTAAATCGTAATGCATAAGTACATAACATCAATTTATATATTGCGTAGTATCTCAAAGATTTTCTCAATATAATACTGACACGTCTGAAATGTTTATAATTATACATTTGAAAACAACACTGTCTCGCTGCTTCCCATCTCTGTACAATGAATATATACCGTCAAACTAATATCGACACTTGAATGCCCGTAATGTATAACATCAATTTATATATTGCGTTGCGTTGTATCTCAAAGATTTTCGCAATATAATATACGTCTGAAATGTTTATATATACATTTGAAAACAACACTGTCTCGCTGCTTCCTAGCTCTGCACAATGAATATACCCTCAAAATAATATCGATCTTTAATTGAATGTCCGTAATGCATAACATCGATTTATATATTGCGTAGATTCTCAAAGATTTACTCAATATTCACATCTAAAATGTTTATAATTTGAAAACAACACTGTGTCGCTCCAGCGCTCCTTCCTAGCATCATCACGCCATCGTTATATACGGCTTGATAGCGCATGTGCATTTGTGTTGCTAAAGAAAAAAATGGGTTTTCCGGGGGAAAGATCCTTCACACAACGTGAGAAGCGAATGTTATAAAATTTACAAAAATTTACAATAACGACAACGATTCCTCGAAATTTTTGTGAACTTGGCAAAAGAACAAAAAATATGTAAATAAAACAACTGAAATTGCCTAAATAACCTTCAAAGCACAATAAATCACTACAAACATAAATCGTATACATATAATACACCCCCCGGAAAGTTAACTCTATGACTGATTGACTGACTGACTGATGTGAATTTTCCCAGTCATCACAATAGTGCACAGTTTCAAAGAAACTCTGCACTAAAAACTACTGCAAGTCATGTATATTATATGAGATTTTCCAAGTATACATCGTCCACCTTTTTTGGCCGAAATATTCCACTTTTGAACTTAAAAGTGAATGAAGATCTGGTATTCAATTACCGGTATACAGATTTTAATTTTGAAGTACAGTATAAATGTATAGAAAAAGCACAATCACTTTTAATCATTGTTTTTTTAATATATTAAAACCAGACTATACATATAAGATTAACCAGACCGAACTGCATAGTGTAAAATTGTAAATATACTACTTTATAGGTTGATCACGTGTGTTACCGGTAAAATTGGAATGTACAGTAATCTCTGAAAACAACTGTCACATGATTTACACTATTTACATTTATGTACAACTGAAAGCGCTTTTGCTATATATATATTAATAACTATTAATAAATAACGAAGAAATCTAAGAAATATATTGTGGAATGTTTCATTTCAAGCTTCTGATTCATCGATTTTCAGATACTGAACAGGATCTTTGATAAACTTTGCATCGCTGAAGTTTATTTTTTCTGAGCACATTGGACAAACACCTTCCCCACCGTCTAAAAAACTGGAAAACAAAAAAGTTGAGGCAGTGTTTCATTATATGATTTTCTTTAAATCATGTCACGTTAATCCGTGACACGTTAATAATCCTTGACATGATTTTTGAAGCTGCAGGGGGCGTTGTTCAAAGCTGGATTAGCACTAACCCTCGTTAAAACTTAACCCGCGTTTTTGGTTTGGGTATACAACTGCAAATCTGTTTATTTCAAAACTTTAGAAAATAAAACTTCTATTGATCCTGACAAGATTTCTAAAAAAATATTTCCACGTTTATAACCATTAAGCTGTTAGGAAGTTTGCTTTGAAGTTTTTCGTTAACCTAGGATTAAGCTAACCCGCTTTCGAACAACTGGCCCCCAGGGTCTATACAACTGGCCCCAGAGGTTTATACAACTGACCCCAGCTATACTACACAATCACGCACACGCGTAAAAACGAACAACCTGTTCCCGGTTGATGTCGATAGGCTTGAACAAGTTTGTACTGCACCCTCAGAACATGTTGTCAGCAATGTTGCTACAGAATTGTTCAGTTGTAACAACTCTGTAACAACATTGTTGACAACTTGTTCTTAGGGTCAGCATAACCTTGGTCGCGTTTTTATGCGTGTACCATGCAGAGCAGAGTATGCAAATTCGCAAGTTAGGTCAGTTTGGGCACTAGATAATAGTTTAGATTTGATTTCCACTACCATTAACGGACCAATGGTCATAGTGGAACAGTGGAAGTCAAATCTAAACATCACTGATAGCTCTATACGAACTTTTCATGGTGTAGTCATTGTGACATTGGTATATCATTTGGTTTGAAAAGCTTTCGTTGTGTTGTTGTCTGGATTAAAGCCTGGTTAACGCGATGCAATAAGCATAACATTTCCTTTCTGTGTCTTCCACTGTCCCTAACATCAGTATTTTGGTATAATATTTAGACTAAGCACTTAAGGCTAACAATGATGATTCTGCAAATTAATTTTGACGTGTCACACGAGCAAATTGTTGCTACCACTCGCAACGCACTTTTGGATAGAGTGATGTTATCAAAACCCCACGTTTTACTACCGACATTCTTCATCCAATCATCCTCAATTTCTTTCATGCCTCAAAGAATATGTTCAAATACTCACAATTTCCTTGTGACTGTGCTTTAGATAACATGGCTCGGTTATCGAAATTGCGTTGCAATTAGTTGCAGCAAAATTGCCTCGTGTAATATGGCCTCAAGGTAAAACTTATTGTAGATATTTCTACCAACCTTTTTATCTCGGAATACAAGGCAGGGAAATTACAACTCGGACAAGCTGACCAATCATCTTTAAGCATGTGTCGTCCCTAGAACAAAATAAATTGTGTTGAATTATGTGAAACAATATTTTGTGAGAAATCAGTCATCGGACAAGATTACATTGCTGTCGTGCAGTCTTGGATAATTCGGTTTATATACAGTATAAATTCAAAATTTTCTCCAATATGTGAAATCTTCATATAAAGTGAGATGAACAGCGTGGTAAGTGGCAGAATACGAAATTTTCGCTATTTACAAAATATTCTACCACACTGCACTAAACGTTGAAAGTATATTGCCATTGCTATAGCCTTGTTGTCGTGTTTAGAGCCTTTATCTTGTTGTTGGCGACATTTTTACGAAATCATATTGAAAAAGTTGGCATATAGCCTCCTATAGGAGGATGTTGATTTTTTCGACGCTGCGTATATACATTATTATTTAACACTCTGTACATAATAGTTGGAACTCAATTACTACGAAAACACTATACTATTCTTTACAACATAGAAAACTTCCTTAAGGTAATTCCGCAATAATTGTTCCCGAAATGAGAATGTGCTGAAACTTCCCAGGCATGGAGTTTATGATATACTTAAAGTAAAATCACACAAAAAAGTCGGGGTCACCGAACTCGTTAAGAAGATATGACAATCACAATATACCACCTTTACCCCAATATGGCGCCATCTTGACGCTCATTACGAGTAACAGCAAAATCACAACAGCCCGATATTTATTGACGTTTTTAGCGCGGATTTTGCTTTAGCAAACCTATCTTGTAATTATTTTGGAAAAAATATTGTGTTTTGAGCAAAATGAAACTACTAACGTGTACAATTCTGATCCATAAATGTCTTTTACACATTTTTTTACATATCTTTCTTTGAGAACATGCATTGATAAAGGATTTTTTTCAAGATCCAGAAATTATTTTTCTTTTAATTTTGGATATGAAATGTAAAATGCATTAAAGAAATAAATTATCAGTTAAAAAACGGGGATCACCGATCTTTTTAGGGAATTGTGGCATTAAAACGTGAAATACAAGTAAATAAATACACTACAGAACCCTAGCTACACTTTTGTATGCCTTTTTTGAAAACATTGATTTTAACGTAATTCTTTGCACGAATGTAACCAGAGATGCTTTGAAGTAACATAAAATTGTCATAAAATGATTTTTTTTAAACGGTACCGTATAATGGATGAAATTATAAGATGTGCGCAGTAAAGTGCGCAATGCAAAACTGCGGAATTACCTTAAGCTCGTCATGAGCTAACACACTGTAGACGTAAGCAAATGTTCATATACTTACAGTGATGATACAGTACGGGATGTTATTTTTACATTCAGGACAATCAAGTTTAGTTTGAGGAAGAATATATTCACAATAAGGACATGCATCACTTGCTTCCTCTTCTTCTGTTTTGTCTGGTTTCCTAAAAAACACATAGCAGCCATGTTGGATTTTTTTTATAGTATAGAACCTCGTGAATAGGGCCAAGGACGCGGGCCGGGTCGAAAACAATTGGCCTATATCAACGGGGTAGCCGTATAAGGCGGGGTTCCACAGTACTTCGAACTAAGATGGAGATTAAGATCAGGGTAGCTTGAGGAGTTCAACTGAATTTGCATATTTTGAAATGACGTGATAGAAGTACAAATTTTACTGATATACGGATAAGACGTACAAAAATAATGCTCTCATTTTTCTTAACGTCTTCACTGGAAAACATTGAATGTTATTTCGAGACACATTGTATTTACCTGACAATCTGTTCAATCTTTTTCTTGTACTTTAAGTCAACATCTTTTCTATATTCTGGTCTCATTAACATCGCCGCATAACTGAATGAAGAGTTGCGTAGTGATGCACGATGACATTCAATTACAGTTGAAGTCAAAATTGGCACAATATCTAATGTAAAAAATAATATTTAGAATTTCTTGTCGGTGCAGAATTTGGAGGCAGAAACTGCTAGAGAACTGCTTGAAATCCACTGAAATTAATCTAATAGTATAAAGTATTTGAAATAAGCACTAGCAAACTTGCGTTCCGAGTGTTTGCATCTGAAAGAATTTTGAATGATAATGAGCTACTTAATGTCGATTACACATGATGTGGTTGCCATTTCACCCGAGCCAAAAGCTCATGATGCAAGCGCTCAACAACTACGGCGCCAAGGGTATATAGTTTCTGGTGGGGGAGCAAAAACCCTTGAAGGACAGGAGAGAACCAGTCACACTTCCATACTTGAGTACAAGGACGTTACCCATTCTATGCTTGACCTGCAGTATAGCAGGCTAAACTTAGCATGTGCTACAACTTGGGTTGTTTCGTATAGGCTAGATTAATTCAGCGCTATAGCCAAGGCTTAATTCAGCGCTATAGGACTACGTATATCCGCATCTGCGACCTATGCTTCCCATGGAAAAATACTGGCAAATACAGACCATCATTATACAACATTTAAATTTTGACTTTTAGTTAGTCACTAGAAAAGCTTTATAAATACAGCGAGAGTATACAATTACTTTATGGTTTCCGTGTTTGGATGGCCTAATCCAAACACGCGGGAATGTTGCGAGAGTTAAGAAAAGCGAGCGAAATCACGAGCCGAAGGCGAGTGATTTTGCTCGCTTTTCTTAACTCGAGCAACATTCCCAAGTGTTTGGATCAGGCCATCCAAATACGGAAACCATAAAGTAATTGTTTTATAAAATAACAACAACACGATAGTCTCCGTGTTTGGATGGCCTGATCCAAACACGGGTTTCGACCAATCAGAACACGCGTTATATACATGTTATTTTATAAAATGCATTTACTTACGGGCTGGAAACTTGCTGATGTTGTTAGAAACACGTATCAACATACGAGCACCTTTTAAATGATCTCCACGCTTGACGTGAACCTGGATGCAAATAGTTCAGGTTATTAAAACACAGACTTTGTCGCTGGTTACAGACAACTGTAATCCTCACTTAATCACAACAATCAAGAAATATTGGGAAAGTCTCAATGCGCTGGCGAGGGTCATGCGTTTTCTCCAGGTACGCTGGCGGTTTCGTCCCACAGCGAAATAAGTTCACATAGGGCTTGAGAGCAGTAGATTCATGACCTCAACAACGTGCCAGCTGCATTTGAATACATATCGTAGTTATAGATACATGATACTTTTGTTGTTAATAAACCAGATTCCCACTCGAAATATTAAAAGTTCTATTCATCATCACTTAAAGTGGCTCCCTACACTTTTCTAAAATTTTAAGTATTTTAGGTAACCCTCGTTTTCGTTGTGTGTCTGATCTATATAAATATTTAAACTTTACAATAACTGTAGGTAGTCATCTTAATCTGCATGTATACGACATACCTTGACCAATATATAACTGTGAAGAATCATTAAATTTTGCTTCATTTCTGTTGGTATTTTGATCTTATGTTGAAGAAGTTCTAAACAATAAATAATCACATTACCGTAAAGCAACATGTTTTATTTTCATTACTATTATAGGTTTGTAACATGTATTTATCAGCATTTCACTTGAACTTAAAGCACCAAAAACCAACTATATTTTAAATGTGGCGCTGTACTGGACACCAGACGGGAATCGGAAGCGAGGTAGACATGAAGGAGGAAGGTTGAGGCGGAGCTGAAAGTCATGAACCACAGCTACATGGCATACCATCGAGAAGAGCGCAAAGGCCGGGAGGGGAGCTTTGTAGCTGCCAGATTGGCATAATAGGCATTAGCTAATAGCAGTAGTAACCGACAACCGACTATAAAAACAACTTTGTTAGTTTTACATGACGTCACGGCAGCCATGTCGAGGAACAAAAGAATTCATTAAATTTGGGACTAACAATGTCGACATTTCATTGTACCTAATTTTTTAATTCTTACTAAAATTGAACAGTATACAAACCTTGATACATTCCAAACAAGACATCATGAGCATTTCTGTAGTTTCCAGCAGATTGATCTTCTCGAGCAATAATAATGGCTGTTTTTGCAGCTTCACGATAT